GTGTGTGAATACCAAGAGATGTCAATATTCAATATTAAGTTAAAAAAAAAAAATTGCAGGCCTCCCTCGTGGCTCAGGGGTTAAAGTCTCAGTGCTATCAAGCTATCACCAGCCACTGTAGTATGCGAGCAATCCCCAGCCAGGGCACAGCAGACCTCTCCTGTCCTGCCCACTGCTCCCCTCAGCAGTGTATTTCAGTAGATCGCCTATTCTTCTCCCCAATCTGCCTCTGGTAAATCCTCTGACCCCCCCCCCACCTCTGGGCCTGCACCCCAGCTTTTGTATGCATACATAAATAAAAAATAAATCTAAAAATAAATAAATAAAAAACATTTGCAATGGGCTGAACATTACCTTAAACAAGGTATGCTTGTATGTACATTAAATTTGTGTGACAGGATACAAGAGGTAGGGAAGTAGCTTCACTTTATATCATCTGTGCTTTAACTTCTTTTAGAGCCTCAGGAAAGCTAGGAGAACTGGAATGGGAGTTAAAATCAAGAAAATAGGAGAGAGTTCAACGTTAGTACTTAATTTGAAATTAAACCAAACGGTGATCTAGAAGATAGGATGAAAGTAGACCAAGCAGGAAGGATGCTGTGCTTGTTCATTTCAGCCAATATGCACAGCAGCCTCCTGGGGCTACTGGGAGCTTGGTCCAGATTCCCACCTCCCCTGGGGCAGATTTTAAAACTGTGTAGGGACACAGCAACTTAAAGAAGACTGATAGAATTTCTTTAATCCAGACTGGGGCAAATCACAGGATTTATCATCCGATGCTAGTCACTATTCTAAATGTAACTTTCTATGTATTCTAAATTTAACTTTGTGAAAGGTTTTATTCTCAAATGCTTGGTGCTGTGAGCCTGGGACTATGCTGCTTTTAGGGCATGGAGAAATCTAAGAAAACCAAATTTCTGGATTAGTCAGAAACAGATCTGTTGGATCGCTTTTTCCACATCCTAAGGAAATACACTGCATGTCTGGAGGCTTACAAAGTGAGTTTTCCCATAGAGTAATCCACTTCCCGTTGCGCTCCCGCATGCTGCCTGCAGCCATGAGAGGGAGCAGGAAGCTAGCCTGCCTTTCACTTCCTCTTCCCTTCTCTTTATGTGGGCATCCGCAATCACACATGAGCTAACTAATGCAGTGTTTCTAGAATACTTGGGCTCTATCTAGCAGAATGAACTAATGCTCACTGAAGAAAATTTAGAAATGTAAAAGAAAATAAGTCATCCATAACTCCACCAGCCAGAGGTAGCCACTTTTAATACGTTGCTGTATCTCGTGGTTTACGTTTTACTGTTTATGTGTATATAAGTATAACTGAATTTGTACTAGGTAGAGAATTTGAGCCTAGTTTTAATTTAACACAATGTATTGAATAGTTTCCCAACTCAATTGCAGTTCTTTTTAGTGTCTTCATTTAAAAACTACTGCATGACCAAGATGAAAATGCATACATTGTGCAAAAATGAAAAATGATGTAAAAAATATATAAAATAAAATCACAATAGGGGGCCTCCCCGGTGGCGCAGCGGTTGAGCGCTGGGTTGCAAGGCTGCCCGCTGCCTCTGCGGCGCCGGTTCGATCCCCGGCTGCTCCCCGGCCACCAGAGGAGGGTCCCACATGGCGCGCAGACCTCTCCTGCCGCCCGCTGCTCCCCTCAGCAGTGTACTTCAGTCCTTCTGCCTGCTCTGCTCCCCGCTCTGGCTCTGGTGAATTCTCTCACCCTCCCGTGCTTCTGACTGTACCCAGTGCATGTACAAACAAAAAAAACAAACGAACAAACAAATAAATAAATAAATAAAACATGCCTCTATAAAAGAAAAAAAAAAAAATCACAATAGGTAGTGCCTCAGTCCAAAAAAAAAAAAATAGGGCCTCCCCAGTGGCGCAATGGGTTGAGCACAGTGCTGTGAAGCTGTCCGCAGCCTCTGCAGTGCAGGTTCGATTCCCTGCCGGCCAGGAAGATTCCCACATGGCACAGCAGGCCTCTCCTGTCTCGCCCGCTGCTCCCCTCAGCAGTGTATTTTGGTCATCTGCCTGTTCTGCTCTCCACTCTGTCTCTGGTGAATCCTCTTACCCTCCTGCACCTCTGGACTGTACCCTAGCTCTTTTATAAAAATAAATAAATCTTAAATAAATAAATAAAAAATAAAAATAAAACTACCACATGGAATCATATAGTATTCCCTCTTAAAATCTGTATCATAACCCTTCCAATTTTTTTCAACTCTTAGGATGTTTCCTTTTATTTATTTTTCATCAGTTAGGTTGGATTGAGATAAAATTGGTTTACATAATTTTTTAATAGTTTAATGCATTTTAATAGCAAACCTATGGACCAGCACAGAAGACAGACACTAAAAAATGTACTTGCATGTAGGACAACTCAGACAAGTACAGGAGAGGGACAGAATCTACTCTGTGATAAAAATGCTACAAACACCACTTAGTTGCTATCAATAATAAATGTACTTGTTTTTAAAAAATCCAAATGCTGGCATTGTCCAGACAAACTTAACAGGTTTATTTCTAATTGTTACAGAGTTGAACTGCTGAAACTTGTTCACTAAAACACTTTAACTTGCATTAATGCCTTATCTCCCTAGATTTATGTTGAAAATTCACACACAAATGAAAATGTTGTCTCTCATCCCTGCATCCTCCTTTTCCCATTTACCAGCTGAGCTCTACTGTGATCTATTTTCTATGTAGGGCTTCTGGTCAGATATATCTGTGGGAATGCAGGGGAGGGCAGTGAAAGGGGGGCTTCTCCAGCTCAGATGGAAGCCCGAAACCACTGCACCACACAACTGCCAGACCCCAGCCCCGGCACATCTGGTGCCCAACACAGGGTGCCCAGCGGCGTGCTCGGCTCTGCTTGCTAGGTTACTAAGGTCTCCTGGCTCTCACTTTGGGCTGAACCAGGACTCGGGTGAGTTTCATAACTCTTGTTCCAGAATTCCCTCTCTCTGACCCATTGCTGTACCCACATCGAGTAGTTTAGAGGATCCAAGGTCATGATGCCTCCTAGACTAAGAGCCATAGTCACCGCCTCACCTAGTCTTTGATATTTTTATTTATTTTTTTATTTATTTATTTTTTTTTTTTGTGGGACCCTTGCCGGTGGCCGGGAAACAAGAGGCTGCGGGCAGCCTCGCAACCCAGCCCTCAACCACTGTGCCACCAGGGGAGGCCCCTTTGATATTTTTAACTAATTACAACCACTTGCTCAGAGTTTACCCCAGCATGGAGGATATTTCTCCATTCTTTGTGTCCCCTAAGGTGCTTAACCTCTCAGAGGTTGGGTTTCATTCCCTGTAGAAATGAGTAAAGTCTGCGTCCTCAGGCTGTGTGTGAAGATCCAAGGAGACAAGCAGTAAATGATGAATAATGGCAACACACATTGAAAGCATTTTTAAAATGTGCTTTGCCTTTGAGTCAGCAGCTCCACTAATGGGAACTTATCTAACAAAGTGATGTAGTACAGTGCTGTCATAGCAGCTCTGGGACAAAGTTTAAGTGTCCCCCAGTAGGGAATTTTTAGATTATTGTATACCCATACAGTGCAATGTCACCTCGTCATTTAAAATGACAGATATGAAATTATACATGGAAAGGGATCCATAAACATCAGGTTAAAAAAAAAATAGGTCCCCACAATTGTATGTGGAGTGTAATCTGCTTACATGTGCACACGTATGCAGAGAAATGGTCTAGAAGGAAATGCCCCAAATGTTAAAAATGCTTGAGCTAAACAGAATTTTAAGAGTTTATATGTTACTATTTTGTGATTATTTTCAGTGGGCATGAATTTACTTCTATGATTATATGAAAAGCAACGGAGAAAAAAAAAACCCTCGTTGCCTGGAACCCCTGATTCTCTCTCTCCATTTCTCTCCTACCCTAAATACTTTTCAGTTCTTGTTGCCTTTTAATTTCAAGAGCCCTCTTTCTTCCAGGTTATGTTGTTGTTTCCTATTTTTCTCTTTCTCAAGTCCTAGGACCCCAGTTCTACATTTCTTATTCCTGGACTATCAGCACCTCTTAGGCATGTTAATTTGCTCTCCAATCTAAATTGCATAACACCCCATCGACTAGGTCATTGTCTTCCATTTTACTGAGAACAAAGATATTAAGAAGCTAGTTTCCCACCTCCCCAAGACATCCACTCTAGTGGCCACACCTGCCAGCACAATGGCCATGTTCCTCTAGGGGCTCCCTGACACCACTGTTGGCCACTGGCACACTACCCTGGATTTGTTCCTGTGTGCCAGCCTTCTGCCCCCTGGAGGCTGTGAGTTCTGTGAGAGCAGGGATTGTCTTGTCTTTCCTGGACCCAAGCATCTGACACAGAAGACCTGGCACATAGGAGGGGTTCTGAAAACCCCACTCGAGCAGTAAACAGTTACTGGCCTCTCCTTTTAGCTCTTGAGTTCCAGCCATGGTTTTCCATTTCTACTGACTGCCACCACCTACTTCACCAAAACGAATACTTGCCACCTGTATTCCTAGCCAGCTCCTTTTTCAATTTCCCATTTGGGTTTGGAACATCACTGTTTTTCAGCCGTGAACTCCAGAATCCTCCTTTTTCCTGCTTGCTCTGCTCATCCAAGATGCTGCATTTATGAAGGTGGGGCCCACCTCCACCTTTAGTGGACATAGTCCACCTGGGGAGCTTGTGGAAAATGCAGGGCCCCTGGCTCTGTTCCATGGTTTCTGATTCCTTGGGTCAGAAAACAGGCGTGTCCGCCACATCTAGTGCTAGTGAGTAAGCCCCAGGAAAGGAATTGCTTGGCAGGGCTGATGGTTTAGAGTAGGAGGAGAAAAAGAAGGAAAGGGGGCTTAAAAATTACATTTACACACCAAAAACTGCTGCCTGTGACTGCCACTGCTGATTGAAATGTAATAAGTATTAAGCATTTCATTTATTATGTCAACTACTGGGTACCCACTGTGTGCTGAGCTGGAGAGTAACAGCTAACACTTATCAAAAGTGCTTCCTTTGTGCCAGGTACAAAGAGTCATCCCAACAACCCCACGAGGGAAGTGAGGCGGCAGGAAAGTAAGCTGCCGGCTTGAGAATGCATGGTGGTGCCGGGCAGAGTCTGGCTTTGTCCCTGGCAGCTCTAACCCAGAGCCTGGCAGCACGACTGCTCCACTTCCACTCTAAGGGGACCAAACGAGAAATACCTGCTGCTTCCCTTCTAGTGGAATTTCCTCAAGCTTATCATTTACTCTAGTAAGTTCCTATTTTGGAAACTAGCTGTTTATGTTCTTATTTCTTTAAAAATATAAGTCCCGGAGGGGTGGTCTGTCAGAAGGTGAGAGTAGAAGCCACACCTGATCCGAGCCGCCACAGATACCCTGTTCCTGGCCACAGAACACATTCCGCTCCTTTCCAGGTGGTTGTTTTTTCCTTCCAGGTATTTAACTTTTTAAAATTCCTTGGATGTGAGATTTGGCGGATAGAAGCAGGATGGAGTGGGTTGCGGGTGAATCCTATGTGGGAAGGGAAAATGCAGTGAGAAAAAAATAATTAATAGTTGGATATGTTCGAATTCACATTATGTAAGGAGGTCCTATTTTGGTTTGGTGAGTCATCTCTTTTTTTCCTTTTTTGTAAGAGGACATTTAAAAGTTACGGTCCTAAAGCTGAATTGGGGGAGACAGAAATATTAGCAATATGAAGTCTCAAAGTGAAATACTAAACAAAGTGTGCTGAAAACTATGAGATGGTGCAGATTTGTGTAAGAGGCCTGTAAGAATTTAGAAAATTCATTCAATGTGTCTTTGTTAAAAATGTATCTGAAAGATTACATGCTGCTTCTAACAATAAAAAATATGATGTTTTAGCAGAATTGGTGGCATAATAATGGCAAGTTGTGTGGCACTTTATAGTTTAGCAAGATTTTTTTTAGTTTGTGTTTTCACAAAGACTTGAATCTGCTCACTCTTATTCTTTCATCATAAAGAAATGGGGCAGCTGAAAAATCAAGACCTCTTAGAAAAGTGATTGATTACAGAGCTAGTGCAGGGAAAGAACTAGATGAGCTTCAAATAAAAAGTGCTCAGAGAATAATGGAGACTCTCAGAAGGAGACCTGCTTGATGAGGCTTCTGCTGAGCCAAACCTGAACTGGGTAGACCATCAAAAGTACATCCATCAGGGAAGAGGGACAGCTCCTCTTTATTAGAAAACCATATGAAAGATGCAGAAGGAATAATGGAATTAGAAAAATCACCATTTGCCAACCATTGTAATAACTGACAGGCAGGCAAGAATCATAAATGTATGTTACATCTGTTATTCAAGTTTGAGGAACATATTTATAAAGTACGTCTCCATGAGAGACTGTTTCATTACAAAAGGCAAAATGGTCTAGTGGAGAAACCTGGCAGGTGCTGCCTTAAGCATCTGAGTAGTATCGCCCATGATGGTCATAATGGATGGCAGGTGCCTCCTGATGGGACCCAGTGACAGGAACTCAGAGTCAGTCTGTGGGGTTCCTTCCAAACATGCATTCTGAAACACAGTCTTGAGCAAGCATCAGGAACATGCAAGGTAAGGAACAAAATAACCAGACTCTAAAGAAACATGACGACAGAATGCCACATACAATCTTGGCATTTCTTTTGCTATAAAGACATTATTGGGAGAATGGAATATCTCAATAAGGGCTGTAGTTTAGGCATGGTTTTGTTTCAGTGTTAATTTTCTGACTTTGATCATTGTACTGTGGCTTATGTAAGAGAATTTCTAGTTTTTCGGAAATACACTGAAGTGTTCAGAGAGAAGGAAGGGACGAGGAGAGGATGAAGGCTTTCTTTCCCCAGAAGGAGGTCTGGTGTCCTGTGGCTTAAACCAGAGCTGGCCCCTCTGGGCTAGGGCTTCCAGAATTGAGATGAGCTCTCCCCCAGCAAGCTCTGGCAGCTCCAGGGAGGCACGAGGGCCTTGCCCCACTCAAGTATCTCAGTCTGTACCTTTCCTGCATTGTCCCTTTGCCTAGAATGCACCTGCCCTGCTGGGAGGTCTGGAGGAAAAAGTGGATGGGGGTAGTAGCAGCAAGGCTTCTCCTTCCAGCACCGCCTGTAAACAGAAGGCAGGTAACTTCCCGAGGAGGGATACCAGTTGTTTCCCCCACCTCAGTTTCCTCACCTGTACCATGAGGTGCCTACACTGGTCCTTACCTCCCTCTGAAACTCATCAGTGCCGCCTCTGTAAACTCTGCCTTAGCCTTGGGAGGGGAGCTGGCATCCCAGCCACTGAAAGATTGCTTTTTGGAAGTCCTTCCTGGACTTAGATATGTAGGTCATATGTTCAGACTTTTAAAACAGTGTGTTGCTACCTTATGACACTTAAGTTTTCAGTGAACCCCCATGTGTGCCGTTTGGTGGTTTGCTTGTGCATCTTCCTGTAGCACGTGTATAGGGTGCCTGCTCTGTGCTGGGACAGTGCTAGGCAGAGGATCAGTAGGGTCACGGTGCCTATGGTCAGCAGCATGGGTGCACCTGGGGGCACCTGCCAGGATAGTTTTTTATGAAGTCACTTTTCCTTGTGACCAGAAAATGACAGATAAAAGAATGAGAGGCCTCAGCTTGGCTCCCAGATCATTAGATGAACTTGTATTAGAGAAATAGCCTCAGTCTCCTCACCTGAAAGAGCAATCTCTGTTGCCTGCCTTGCCCACCTCACCATGCTGTGACCCTTCAGTGAGGGAATTCTGTGTAGCGCTCTACAGGTATGAGGTGCTCTTTGTCGTTAATCCTTCAACATACATATATGGACATGTGTTGAAAAATGTCCTTCTTGAAATGTCATTCTTTTTTTTTTTTTTTTAACAGTTTCAATCACTACTTTTTTTAGATTTATTTATTTATTTATACATGCACTGGGTACAGTCAGAAGCGCGGGAGGGTGAGAGAATTCACCAGAGCCAGAGCGGGGAGCAGAGCAGGCAGAAGGACCGAAGTACACTGCTGAGGGGAGCAGCGGGCGGCAGGAGAGGTCTGCGCGCCATGTGGGACCCTCCTCTGGTGGCCGGGGAGCAGCCGGGAATCCAACCAGTGCTGCAGAGGCTGCGGGCAGCTTCGCAACCCAGCGCTCAACCGCTGCGCCACCGGGGAGGCCATTGAAATGTCATTCTTAAACACAGTGGTATCTCCACCCATTTCTGAACTTCAAAGAAAGAGCGTTGTGAGGACATGATTACAAAGAACAGGAGAATCAGGCTGTGGCTGCAGAGAAAGACCAATGTCCTCCTGTGCCCATGTGTGGCTCAGAACCTAGTCCTGGTGTGCACAGTTGAATTGACCGTGACATTGTCCTTGCAGTGCACCAGGTGGCAGAACGGGTGGAAGCCCTGGGGCAGTTTGTCATGAAGACCAGAAGGACCCTCAAAGGCCATGGGAACAAAGTTCTCTGCATGGACTGGTGCAAAGATAAGAGGAGGATCGTGAGCTCGTCCCAGGTATGTCACACCTGACGAGTCGCCTACGAGGCTTCTGTAGATATTTTAAATAATCCACAAGCTTTAACATTGACATCACTGCTTTGTTTATATTTTACATGTTATTAATCTCCTGTATTACTTACAAAGCTGGTATGTCACATTGCACTTGCCTTTTTAAAAAATGTTCATTAAAAATTTAACTTAACACTTAAGTGTTTTACCGCATTTAGGAAACACTGGGGAAGAGAACAAAAAAGTCTTTACTCCCACTCCCTGTCACAACCATTATTGTTTAGAGCATTTCTTTCTAGTTATCTATTTTCCCCCAAATTCTCATTATTACAAAATGTTTATCTAGATATCTGCCTTGCCTTTTTGAATTTGTTCTATCCTTCAAAGTGTAATATGTGCTGAATTTTCTATCACTCATGTGCTACTTTTAGGAGGGAGGGGGATGCTTGGCAGTGCTGATACCCTCCGTCCATCCACTCTGCTGCAGAGGGTAGGGAAGTGGGCGTGGGGTGTGGGGAAGGCCTGGGGAACAGCAGGAAGGCTTTGGAACAGACTGAGTGACTCAGCACTCAGCACCTTCCAAGGCACCTCCAAGGAGGTGAATCAGCCTGACCATGTGGGACTGGTTTGGGGTAGAGGCATGTTCTCCAGGTACGTAGGCCTCTGGCATGTAAGTCTGTGCTCCTGGAGGGAACCACATTTCACTTTATAAAGCTGATTTTAGCCTCTGGGCTGCCTTTTTCGCTCCAGCGCACATGGTGGGTGGGTGTTCTCTGTTCTGTTACCTAATCTACCCACACATTGTGTTTGGACATTTAGTCAGAGAAGTTAGGCTAGAAGACCAATGTGCTGAGGAGTTTTGAAAGCCCCAGATCGCCAACTTTGACCTTGTTTCAGGGCTCCTCGGCCGCACACAGCGTGAATAAGGAGATCTTCCATTACATCACACCACACAAGCAGCCATTCCACTTTAGATAATTAGACCTAGCTTGTGCCCCTAAGTGGCTCCCCTCAACCCATTTACCAGAATTGTCCTTAAATGGCTTGAGTAATTTCAAAAAAAAAAAAAAAAAGAAAGCCTGCCGTAGGGGCTGCAGGTTCACCGTCATGAGGATGTGCGGGCGCTTGTGTGCTGAAGGTGGGCTCAGCCGTTCCCCTCCACGGTGGCCAGAACCCTTTCTGGGCAGGCGACTGGTTTGCCTCTGGGCTCGGAGGTTTGTCTCTAGTGGTTTTGTGTTACAAATAGATGACACCATAGTCATTTCCCACACCCCCACTGTGGGCCGCAGCAGCAGCATTGACAGTGAAAATGGCAGCGTGTCTGTCATGTCACCTGAGCTTACACCTGGACAGGGAGTGGTCTTTGTTTACTGGACAACTGCCCACAGGGAGTCCCCACCATAAATGACATGTGTCTCATGTTGTTCTCCGTGTAGATGTGAATGTCAGGGTGGTCAGTTGGAGTATCTAGAGCACCTGGAGAAGTTAGACCATCTGAGGCCCACACTGTGCATGCAGAAAAGTGGGTCAGAATGGGCTTGGGTTCTTACACTTCCTGCAGGGAATGTGGGCTGACAGGGACTGGTAGGCTAGGCTAGCTGGAATGATAAAGTGAGACACCATTAGTTACCTGCCAGGTACCTAAAGGTAATTTCAGCTTCATCTTACTCCTGTATAATTTGTTGACATTTAGGATATGGTGGATGACAGTTTACCAACAACTTGTCCTTTGTTTATAAAAGGTGTAAAAGAAGTATCTGAACACCGCTTCCTGTCTTTGTGTGTGCATGAGACATGGAAGTTTCAGGAACAGAGCCTTTAGCCAGGCTGGGAAGTTCATAAAATCCCTTTTGTTTCAAGGACGGACTGGAGGGTCTGATTATGCAGACACTGTCCCTGGCCCTCAAACTGCCCAGTGGGCACAGCTTTTACAGCCAGTTCTCAGGAGTTACCTGCAAGGGCTCGATAGTTCCTTAACTGTTTTCCTTTTCCCTCCAGGACGGGAAGGTCATCGTGTGGGACTCCTTCACTACTAACAAGGTGAGGCATTGTTCTGGTGCATTGAGGCGCCCCGTCACCTAGCCTGGTTTATAGATGCTGGCCTAGCCCCCAGCTCCCTGTCCTCATGTCTTTGAAGCACCCCACTAATGGTTGCCCTGCTTCTTGGGGAGCTTGTTAGCAGTGGAAGCCCCAAGAAAGTTCACCTGTGTTTGGATAGCACAGCAGCCACTATGCTGCTCGGTCCTCCCCTGAGCTGAAATCCCTCACCCAGAGAAGAGAACTCAGGGCCACCATAGGAAAGAGCATGGCCTGGAAAAATTGGTTCATTCACGCAGGTGACTGCATGTATTATTTTTCTTAGTGATGATAAGAGGTACCCCAAACCCTTAGTTTTCTTTCCCTGGTCTTTGATCAGACTGCATAGCACTGTGGGCATCAGCAGATGGGGAAGTGGAGGCTGCAGTGGGATTGATCCATCCAAGTCTGCGGTGGAGTCTAAGCCCCTTGCCAGTCTGGCTTGGGCATGCATCCCTCAAATTACACCAAATTTAGACTCTTTTCTAAAGAGAAAGGCCAGAATAGATAGATTAACTGGAATGCCTGTGTCATGTTGGCATTTACAATAATTGTGTATTAAATGTGGATTCCAGTATTTACTTAGAATGTTTGCTTTTCACTATATAAAAGGGAGACCTCTGTCTGCCTGGATCAACAGCATCCATATTCATTATTCCTCCAGCATTATTAATGTGTCCAGTAAATGTCATGATGGACATCTGTTTTCCTGGTGAATGGGCCCAGAACCATCTTGTAGAGCAGAGTCCCTAATCGCCTGGCCCCTGGGGAATAATAAAAACGACAACTTGGCAATTTGCAAAGGGATTTCCTGACTATCACCTACATGATGAGAGCTGCTGCCTCTCCCAGCATTCCTGCATGTTCCTGGGGGTGGGAGTGATTGTTTGTGTTTACACCTTAGGACAGCACAGAGCACACACACTGCCTCATTTCTGGGGCACCATGGAGTTGCCGCTTGTGGTCCCTGGTGGGGAATGTAGCTGTAACTTGTAAAAAAAGGACCCTGGTATGCCCTGAGCTGAGAGTGACACTCCTTCATTGGCAGGCAGTGGATAATTCTTCACCTGTAATGGCTGCTTGACTGTGAGTGACAACAGAACTTGACAGGCAGTTTTGGGGCCCATGTTTCACACAATAGCAGAGAGAATCATAACAAAGGAAGACCAGCACTTGAATCTGCTCTTCGAAGCACATTCAGGTGGAATAGGTGACTGAGGTGGAGTAGGTGACTGAGGAAGGACAAATGGCTGGCCCACATGGGCTTGCACATCTTTTGGTGTTGGCACCAACACCAGGCCCATGTCTCCCCTGGAGATAAGACTTCAGACTCAGAAGTGACTGAATCCTGGCTTTGGTGTTTGCTTATGAGTGCAGAAGGATCTGGGCAACTCAGCCAGAAGCCAGGGACTATTGCTACTAGTTCTTATTCCTTCTATTTTACCAGGTCTCTTCATCCCTGAGCACAACTCATGATCACCCCATCTTCTCCACCTAGGTGTGGTTTTAGGACCCATAGGGGACAGAAGCTCCTCTATATTCACAACTATACACACTTAGAATCTGCATTTTAAAAGTTAATCAAAAATATATTTCTAAAAGGGTGGAAGTCATGGTATGCAAAGTAAAATACACATCTGAAATGAAATTCAGACAGATCCTTCAGAGAAAACAAACCCCCAATATTCATTTAGAAGAACAAAGAGAGTATAACATTAAGAAAAAAGTAAGCAGTAAGGGTATTTTTTGTCAATTTTTAGTATATATGATAAAAAGTTTGTTGATTATTTGGGACTGAATCTACTCATCAGTCTCAGTCTATACCACACACCACTGTCCTTTGAAATGATAATGTAATTCAGTAGGAACTTCAGTGACTCTATTATGTAAAAGTTAAATGTAAAGACATTTGTGCGGAAGCACCCTGTTCATTCTATGCATGATGCACACTGTATTTCAGGAACATGCAGTCACTATGCCCTGCACATGGGTAATGGCATGTGCATATGCTCCATCGGGATGTGCCATTGCCTGTGGGTAAGTAGAGGCTACAACAGCTTTTATCTTCCATTAACCACAGAATACTGTTCTATGTTAAAAATAAAGAGCTTGTTATTTTATAGTTTACTGGTTAAACAATGTGTTAAATTCCTTTCTGAATTTTATCAGAGAAGAAACCAGAAAAATCTCCTTCATAATTACTTTCAGACTGCCAGTAGTGTGAATTTCAAACCTATCCCCCACCCACTATTAAATTCTACTGGTGGGAACTCTAAATTGGTGCAACCGTTTGAGAAAGCATATTGGTAATGTGTATCATTTGTTTGAAAGGAATGATCCAAACTATAGAAAAGTTGTATGAGCAATAACATTTATTGTAGTGTTACTTAAAAAAGAAAAAAGGGAAACAATATGTCCATCAAAGGAAATTTTTAAGTGAATTGTGTTATATGACTTGAGTGGAATATTATATGGCCATCAAAAGGGACAAGTTAAATGAGAAGAGCATAAAGGTTACTGGGAATACTGTACCTTATTCTCTATTTTCCTGGAACAGTTTATTAGAGTTGATGCTGAGAACTGCTACCAACATATTTCCCTGTCCCTGTGTTCAGTAATTCTGAGACTATTTAAAATAATTTCTACAATGGTTAGAAAAGAGGCATCAGTCTAAAGGTTGTGATGAACTATACAAAAAATGTAGTCATAGGGGATATGTGGGGGAAATGCAGTTGTACATTTTTCTTGACTGGGATTACAGGTGTTTTTCCCTTCATTATAATTTTCTCTATTTCTAGTTCTTTAAAATAAGCATATATTGTTTTTCATAATCAGGACAAAAGAATTTTGTTTCAAATGAAAATCCTGGGCCCCCACACAAAAACTTTAGAGTCCTCTCCAGGCAGAGTCACACCAGCCATCTTCCCCAATGTTCCTCCTTATGGGTGGCTATTTGGGTGCATATCCCCGTTCTCTACTTGCTGAGAGCTGGTGTGCCTTTGGAACTCATGCTCACATATATGTATTTCTAATGTTATAATTTTTAAAATAACCCAAAAATATATCTCCACTTCATAACTAAGTATGAATACTTACATAAAATTTACCCCCTCTACTTCCAAAAAGGATATGAGGTGATCTTAATAAATGATACTGATGGGGCCTCCCCGGTGACTCAGCGGTTGAGCGCTGGGCTGCGAAGCTGCCAGCCTCTGCGGTGCCGGTTCGATCCCCGGCTGCTCCCCGGCTACTGGAGGAGAGTCCCGCATGGCAGCGCAGACCTCTCCTGCCGCCCGCTGCTCCCCTCAGCAGTGTGTCGTCAGTCTGCCTGTACTGTTTCCCACTCTGCCTCTGGTGAATTCTCTCACCCTCCCGCGCTTCTGACTGTACCCAGTGCTTGTATAAATAAATAAATAAATCTTTAAAAAAATAAATGATACTGATGTATAAACACATACTAGGTATGTGTATATATTAATACCTGTGCCACATATGTAAGGCACACACACACCCACTTGTGCCATGATTATAAGGTATATAGAAAGGAGTTCAGCAAACTATACAGTACATTGCCACAAAGTTTTCCTCACTTCAGATGCCACTCACAAAATCAGAGGTCCCTACAACCACCTCAGGCTCACTAATTTACTGGAGTTCAGGGAAGTACTGTATTTACCCTCCGTTTTATCACAGTGAAAGTGTACAAATTAGAAACAGCCACTGAAAGAGATGTGCAAGACACAGTCAGAAGAGGTCTGCACCTGTTTCCCATCTTTTCCTCCCTGTGGAGTCACAGACGCATTACCTCCTCCCAGCCACAAGAGTGATAATATGCACAGAGTATAGTCTACTTACCAGGCAGGACATTCCAGGGGTTCAGAGGTCATCTCACAGAAGCCAAGGGCAAAGGCCAGACTCTCATTAGGTAAGACCTCACACTGCTCAGTAGGAATAGTATATAAATATTCTATATATTTTTTAAAAAACCTAGGGTAACACATTTCTAATGGGTATTAACTTTTGCAAATTATGCAGTTGGATGAGTTACATAATTTCTCAGTATTTTCTACGGGGATATACTCTCTGGTTCTAAATTACAAAAGGAATCTATTAAGTAGATCCTTTGGCAGTATGCAGTGATTGTAATAATATAGTGCCATAGGCTATTTCTTTTTTAAACCCTCACTAAATGGAGCTGAGTAGAATTTCTGTGCGGGCAAGAGACCAGGGCAGGCAGGGAGAAGAGTTTTTCAAGGCCCAGGTAGGCAGCTTTCTGGTGACACTGTGATGCAAAGAGAGTTTGTTCAGAGTAGAGGGAAGGCTGTGCCTTAGTCTTAGTCATTTCTGTTTCCCTGGGCCTGCTGTGCCATCGATGGTCGGTTCCTGTACTGGCTAAGTATTTTCATTTGAGAGCAATGTATGTGTAATATATGTATATGAATTATATTTTCATACATATATATTCAAATATATATATATTCTACTTGAAAGCCATACCCCCAGGAAGACTTTGCTCAGGTATTCTACACTGACTATGAGTGACTCTGTGCAGTGCCCTGCACTGGGTGTCATAGACATTTCAAAATTGAATAAAATAGTTCCTGCATCCAAGCAAGAACAGAGATAAAATAATGATAATGACCCCTTGCTGAGCTTCTATCATGTGTCAAGGGCCATTCTGAACTGTATAATCTTCACAACAGTCCCTGTGGCAAGTGTTTGAGGTCCCAACCACATTTTATACTTGAGACTGAGACTCAGAGAACCTAAAGCAGTAGGACTAAAGTCACAAAATGTGCTGGTACAAAAGCAGAGATTGAGCATCAAGTGCAACTCACTGCAGAGCTCCTCTGCTTCTCACAAATGTGCACTAATCCTACGTGGTGAGATCCCAGCAGAGCTACAGAAATTACTCAAGCTTCAGAATGGGAGAATACTTCTCACCTCGAGGGCGGGGGAAGCTCATCTTCCACAGCTTCCTGGCTCACTGCCATAACCTCAGTGAGAATCATTTTCACCCACACCATCTGTAAACAAGTTTGCCAAAGCTAATTACTGTGATACACTGCCCTAGTCTATACCTGCAGCTCCCAGCAGTTGGAAAGGCAAAGGGAGTCCCCAGGGCCTCAGAAGAGAGTGTCCCTCCTAAGTGCCATTCCCCACTAACAGGAAGCCAGGCTGCTTGGAGTAAGGCATTTATAGGTCTAGGACAGGAAAAGAATAAAGTGAACCTAGCCCATTTTCTTCTTTCAGAAAACAAGGAAACATTCAAGAACCAGTAGGATCAATTGCAAAGGGCCCTACTGTCCAAATTTGGGACAGTTTGAGCTTCATGTGCAATAATGATAGTACTGTATCATAACACAGTTCAGAGAAAAAAGAGCTCATGGGCATACAGTGATAAAAAAAATATCAGCTATCGTCAGAAGGAATTATCCAATTAGAAGGTCACCATTTTGTACCCCTAAAGTAACATTGATTCTAACAAGGGTAATCCTGCCAAAGCCACTATATGAAAGGTTTTTGGGGAACAGGATATACATTGCATGGTCTTAAGATGTCACACCACAGGTTATTACTCATTAAAAATAAGTCCCCCTTTACCATGGAGCGATCTGGGGGTCCCACCTTGACCAGGTAATCAAAGGTGGTATCACTTAGTACAACAGGCATCACAACCCTGAAGAGAAGCAGTGAGAAAGGTATACACAATGTAACCTTTATACTATCATTGCCAGAAATGTTACGCATGACTCTGACTTCAGGAAATGTGCCAAATCCATGGTGACATTGTGAAAGACAGCTGACCTCCAGTCATGGTCATGAATACAAAAAAAACCAAGCAGGCAGAGGGTCTGTTCTAGATTAGAAAAGTCTTAAAAAGATGGAAATATCAAATGTAAAATATTTACCCTGGGCCCTGGGTCCTTTTGGGACAGATAGAATGTGGGTGGTTTCTTATATGGTATTAGGGAATTTTATTAGTGTTCTCCCATGTGTTAATGACTTAATGGCTCTGTAGGAGAATGTTCTTATTTTTAGGAGATGTAAATTTTCAAAGTGAAGCATTTAGATGTCACATGTCATGTCTGCAATTTGCAGGTGGTTCAGAATTTGTTCCCACAGATAGGCAAAATGTTACGTCAGTGAAGCTAGGTGAAGGGATCTGGGTATTCATTGAAGTAATTTTCTTTCAGTTGGACTGTACATTTGAAAATCTTCAAAATAAAAGTTGGGGGAAAGGTTATAATATGCAATACTGCTAAAGGGGGAGCATTCTGAAAAGTTAGTGTGAATGAGAAAGGGTGGCCACCACTCAGATCTAACACCTCTCTCCTTCCATGCTAGTGGCCTGGATAATAAGTGTTCTGTGTACCCACTGACCTTTGACAAAAATGAAAACATGGCTGCCAAAAAGAAGTCTGTTGCCATGCACACCAACTACCTGTCAGCCTGCAGCTTCACCAACTCTGACATGCAGGTAAATAAGGGCCATGGGGCAGGTCAGTCTGCCGGAGAGCGTGGGAGTGCAAGTGAACAAGAGGAGGTGCAGCAGAGGAGCGCCTGGGTGCCCCCCTTAACTGGAGGGTATGCCCAACTCTTGGTTCAAGAGAGAAGAGTATCTGAATCAGGTTACAGCTTTCCATGACCACTCTGGCTTCAGCTGACTGATATCAGGAGGGTGGGGCGGTGGGAGACTGGGTAGTTGTGTGTAACTGTTGAGGTGGAGTGCAGTGTTGACACTGTTTGGGACCAAGTTTCAGAGACTTGTACATAGGGGGTGCTGTGGCCCAGCAGAGATGGAGGCGGGCCGGAATGGTGGGTTATGGGGCATCTGCTGTTCCTCTGGTGGAGACCCACCACTGTCCTCTGTGTTGCCATGGAAGTGAGGGTGGAAGAGGGCACCAGTGACAGAAGGTGCTTCCCCCCCTGCAGGCAGCTGGCTGGAGTTGAGGGAGGGCCCGCTGACTGTCTTGGCGGGAGGAAGCCTGGGCGGCTGAGCTAGGTAAAGGCCGTGCCTGGGAGTCAGCTAGGATCGAATCCCTGCTCCACTGTGCGTAGCTCGTCAGTCCTAAATAAGGTTTTCTTGTGTGTGCCTTGTTCCTCACCTGCAAGCGAGGATGATAGTAAATTCCTCTCTCATCATGTTTTCTGAGGATGAGTGTGCAATAATGTGTAAATACTTAGTTAGTACAGTCCCTGGTAAACATCAGTATCAGCGCTTATGATCTCATTATTATTAATGTTAACACCAAGCTTCATGGGCAATTCGCGGGTCCCACTGAACTAATGAACCATAGTTCTTCCATCTCCCTTCCACCTCTGGGATGCAAAAAAAATATTCATGTCATTGACATAAGCCTGTAGGGTTACGTCTACATTCCAAAAAAATATGACAGTGGGTTAGAGCCTCTGTTGCGTGAATATATTTATAACCAATGGTTAGTTTCTTAAGTTTCTCATTTATATTGTAATGAAGATCACAAAATTATTTTATGTTCCTTTAAATATTAAGAATTTTCTTTTAACTTTAAAAAAAAAATCATTTCTTTGATTGGAGGCTATGGTGTGGGAAATCCCCAAATTAAAAAGCTAGACTAAGGAAGTGATTTAAAGCAGATCGTTTGGACCTGATGTCCCCGCCCTTCAAAAAATGGAGATTATTGACCCTTTGCCAGTGTGAAGACAGGAGTGGGGCGAAGCATCCAGTAATGGGTGAGGCTGGAGGCATTACAGCATACCACAAAATACAAGAACCGAATTTTAGACTCTGTTGTCTGCTCTGAAGCTACTTTTACCAGCCTCAGGCATCTTGTAGCAGGTACACAGGCCTCTGAGGGAAGTCAGGCAGAAGGCAGTCCCTGGACAACAGCAAGGGTTTGCAGCCTGCGCGACTCTCCAATTTTGAGAGCTGCGCTAAGTGGGGCTGGGAGAAAAACCTTGGGGCCATTCCCTAGAAGCCTGAGAGCTCCAAATTCTCCCAGCTCTTGCTCCAGGGAGGACCTCTGAAGCAGTGTCTCTTGGCTGCAAGGAGATTCTAGGCCTCCCCAGACTGCTTGGCAGGAAACCCACACTGAGCAGCTTAGCAGGTGGGCACAAGACCTCAGAGCAGCAGAGTCCTTGTAATGTGCTCCCCACCCCACCTCTGGAGGACAAAGGAAGCCCTTTACAACTGCTAGGCAGGAAAGCGGGAAGGGAGAGAACAGGACCCTGGCTGCTCCAGGTGGGTCCAGGGAGCTACATCAGCATCACCTAGAGTTTGTGAGCCATACAGAATCTCAGGCCTCCCCCAGACTCTGGATTAGCAAGAAGCCTTGGGTGCCAAGTTAATAGAACCGGGCTGCCCATTAACGTCTGAGATGGACGCTGTGTGTCTAGTCTGCACGAGGGGGCTTGGCTGCTTGTGGAGGTAGCTCAGGTTCTATTCAGCAAACATTCCTGTGTGCCAGGAGGGCGTAGAGCCTGCAGTGCAGCAGGGGCACAGGGGTTTCATGCTCTCGAGGAGGACAGGCACATGAACATGTAACTCAAGGACAGTGCCATGTGGAAGAGGAACCTTGCCTTTCTCACTATGGGAGAAATGTTCTGCACGCTCAGAGACCTTTTCCCTGCAGAACTTCAGGCATCTGACCGACCTCCCTAATGGACGTGGTAATGACACACTTCCCGTCCTTTTCTGTGGGCAGATCCTGACCGCGAGCGGCGATGGCACGTGTGCCCTGTGGGACGTGGAGAGCGGGCAGCTGCTGCAGAGCTTCCACGGGCACGGGGCTGATGTGCTGTGCTTGGACCTGGCTCCCTCCGAAACTGGAAACACCTTCGTGTCTGGGGTAAAGACCCAAGGGAAATCGTCTTGGGGTTCTTTGTCTACTGGGGAGAATTTTTGGTGGCACTTCTTGTCAATTCATGGGACTAGACCAGACACTTTTTAGAAGGAGCTGCAGGGGCAGCTGTCCTGCTGCTTGTAACCATGTAGGTGTCTCTCAGCACACCTGTCCCTTTCAGGGGTAGCTCTTTCTACCTGCTTGTGTCTGTGCAAGTGTCCTTTACTCTTGTTTCCCTTTTTGTAATAAACCTGCCCTTTTGCTTATTTAAAAAAAAAAAAAAGGAGCTGCAGGAATTGTCTCAGCTCCTGCAGCCATGGTGGCATTTGGTGGACATTTACAGTGCTGAGCTGGAAGGGTCTCCATCCTGCCACTGACATTTGGGAGTCTACGGGGACCGCTCCTGTGGGAGAGCTGCAATTCAACGTGCATTTCTGCCACATTTAAAAATGTAATTCTTAATAAACTGGCAGACAGTCGGCGTCTGAGAGCAGTAGAGACAGTCACAGGGCTCTGAGCGGGTCCAGCGGTTGCCAAGGTGAGGCAACCCTGTGATGTGATCAGGCCTTTGGGCCAGTGGGACACTCTCCTGCCTCACCCCTGCCAGTGGCCATCCTCCTCCCACCCCGGGACACAGAGAACAGTACTTGACAGGCCACAGAGTATGGAGTAGCACTAGACTCAAGCGCTGTCACTGATGATACCCAAGTCCTATCTGATCTAAATTTCAACCCTACAAATCAGGCAGGACATAAGATAGTAGTCCCCCCCCCCCCGCCCCAGTACAGTACAAGCAGTAGGTGGAAGAGTGAACATGTGTTATGTGAATGGAAGGTGGGTATTCCTGTGGACTGCTGGGGACAAGAACAGAGAACTCATTCATGAAGATGGCACTGAAAATAAAGAAAGAAGCCTCTGTAAGACTTTGAAAGCTAAGAAAGTCGGCCTGAAAGGCATCCATAGCCATAAGAAAAAGAAGATCCACACGTCACCCACCTTTCAGAGGTGCAAGACACTGTGACTCTGAAGGCAACTCAAATATCCTTGGAAGAGCGCCCGCAGGAGAAACACACTTGACCACTGTGCCATCATCAAGATACCCCTGACCCCCAAGTCAACCATGAAGAAGGAGACGACAGAAGCACACTTGTGTTCATGGTGGATGTCAGGGCCAACAACAGCAGAGCAGACAGCCTGTGACAAAGCTCTGTGACCTTGATGTGGCCATCAACACCCTGATCGGGCCTGATGGAGAGAAGGCATATCTTCCACTGGCTCCTGCTGTGATGTTTTTTGGATGTTGCCAACAAAATTGACATCATCTACACTGAATCCAGTTAGCTACTTCTAAATACAATTTCATTCACCATTTAAAAAGAATGGAGAACTAAGCTGTCTCATCTGGTCAGGAGGCAGTGGAGAGAGGATGCTGTTGCCCATACCGTCAGTGACTCTCACAGCTAGAAGACATAAGGGCCCTTTGCTCTACGCCACCCTCATCTCAGTCCTGGGTGCTTTTCTTTCTCCTTGCCACCCCAAAACCTAGTTCTGGCCTTCCACTGACTTTCCTGCTGAGGAAAGTGGCCTTAGGTAAGCTAGTTTCAGAGAAGCATGTTGTTAGCCATTTGCTAGTGGGAAATACACCGTCTCTGATAATAACTGGGCCTCACGCCTGTCTGTGGGCAGTCCTTGCAGAGGCCATCACTCTGGGTAACTTTGCCTTTGCAGGGATGTGACAAGAAAGCCATGGTGTGGGACATGCGCTCCGGCCAGTGCGTGCAGGCCTTTGAAACACACGAATCAGACATCAACAGTGTCCGGTCAGTGAGTAGAAAGTTCATGTTGCCTCTCTGTTTTCCAGTGCTCGTGGCCTGGGGTAATGCTTAGCCTTGAACCACCTCCAGGCTTAGTTACTTCCTTGAGAGAGGCTTCCCCAACAAGAAAGCCTATTTTGTGGTGGAACTGAACAGCATTCCATATCTCTGGAAGAATTTTAATTTAATTAAAATTATTAGAGGAAATTAACATCATCTTCCCTAAATCAAGTCAGTGTTTCTCATCTCATTCATTCATTCATCAAATATTTACTGAGTACTTATGTGATAGACATTCCAGAAATACAGTTGTGAATAGATTGAGAGGTCTCTACTCTCCTGCAGGAGACATACAAGACAAAATACACATAAACAATGTGTGGTTTAATTTAAGATACTACAAGTTCTGTGAATAGTGTGAAACAGGGAGATGGGGCAGGATGGGTTATTTCTCACAAGAATCAGGGATGGCCTCTCTGAGTGGGTGGCATTTAGATTAAGGCCAGACGTGCAAAGCACTAGTGAAGAAACACAAAGGTCAGATAAGGGACCTAACAGAAGGCCAGGAACCCAATGGGGAGTTTTGAGTTGGAGGTTAGCTAACATGGTCTATGTTACCCCTTTCAAAGGTCACTCTGACTATTGTTTGGAGAATATGTTGATGGGGAGCCGGAATAGATTGTGTGACAGCCAACTGGAAGGTAGTTTTATGAGCTCAAAAAAGATAATGGTGGCTGGAACTGTAGAAGACACCGTGGAGACAGAAATGTCAAGAATTGGCAGGGTTTCAGCTTTTACTGTACCTGCAAGCTAGGTTGGGCTGCCAGTTTTCTGGATGCTGATAGAAGACAGGATACTCCTAGGTTAGAGACACAGATTGTTTTACACTAGCTATGGCAGTAGCCAGGCATCAGCATTCTTGTGCTGGTTACCTAAGCCTTCATTCCACAGGGTGACATGAACAGGGCCCCATGATAACCTGCATTTGCCAGGGCTTACTTTATAGGTGTCCTACCCTGAGCTTTGGGAATCCAAATCTTTTATAAGGGACAGCAAGCCAGTCATCATTCACTATGACAGAAAAGACAAGAGGCAGCGCACGCAGGAGGCAGTTGTTGCATGTGGATTCTGGAGCTCTGTGTAGGGCCTGTCAAGTTTGAGATGCCCACAAGACAATCAAGTGGGTCTGTGAACTGGATCCCAACACAGACAGGTCAGGACTTGACGTGTAAATTTGGAAGATGACCCTGTTGAGGCAGTTTATACAGTATAATCACCTAAGAATTTTCATTATACTTGGTGGGAAAGCACTAGACATGTTCTTTTGTTGTTTGATTTTTAAAATTTATTTTCTTAAATCATTATTCATTTTTGTACAATAATTGGTGTCTCCCCCAGATGTAGACCCCATAGTTTTCCTGCTACCCTATCACCTGTGAACCATCATCATAGTTCCTTTTACTCTTCTTCCCCTGTTTTGACCCTTCTCCCTCCCACCCCTTGCTGTATGTCTCAGATCTATAGGCAGCATATATGTGCTCATGTATAAGTGAGTCCATCTAGCATTTATCTTTCTCCTTCTGACTTATTTCACTGAGCATGATCCCTTCTAGCTCCAACCACGTTACTGCAAATGGCATGAGTTTGTCTTTTTTGATTGTTGAGTAATATTCCATTGTATTACCACAAGAATTCCATTCACTTATTTGGTTCCTCTCCATTCCTCTTATAAGTGAAACCATCTGATATTTTTCTTTTTCTTTCTGGCTTATTTCACTGAGCATGATCCCTTCTAGCTCCATCCACGTTGCTGCAAATGGCATGAGTTTGTCTTTTTTGATCACTGAGTAATATGCCATTGTGTATATATACCACAACTTTTTGATCCAGTCATCTGTTTGGGGGCATTTGGGTTGTTTCTGTATCTTGGCTATTGTAAATAGCGGTGCAATAAACAGGAGTGTAGGTTTCCTTTTGAATTAGTGTTTTTGTGTCTTTGGGGTAGATTCGTAAGAGTAGAATTGCTGGATCATATGGTAGGTTCAATTGTAGTGTTTTGAAGAACCTCCACACAGCTTTTCACAGTGGTTGGATCAGTTTGCATTCCCACCAGTAGTGTAAGAGGGTTCCTTTTTCTCCACATTGTCACCAGAATTTGTGTTTACTAGATATGTTCTTAAAAGCAAGAGCAAAAGAAAAACACTTAATTACTTTAGCAGTTAAAAACATGAGAAAGAATTGTTCAGCTCCCTGCACTCAAATGTAGGATAGGGAGAAAAGGAATAGAGACTTTTTGCAAATGCATAGTAAGTACCTAGGAAATTAAAGAAAATCAGTCCAGAAATTACTACAGAGAATAAGTTATTAAGATGCAAGAGACTATAAAGTCACAAAAATAAAATACAGCTTAAAAATGCACATTCACTCATGCTGTATCCTCTACCCTGCATATTCTTCCTTTTGTCCATCAGGCTTGAGCTCAGGAGAAGAGAATGGGACACTACTCATCATCATGGATGAGGGTTGCTTTTTGTTTGGCAAATGGCAACTTCTTTGCATATACACAAAGTCTTAACATTGTCAGTAGGTTTTTGGAAACTGCAACTTTAAGTAAAACAATGTAGGGCCTCCCTTGGTGGCGCAGCGGTTGAGCGCTGGGTTCCGAGGCTGCCCACAGCCTCTGCAGTGCTAGTTCGATCCCCGGCCACCAGCGAGGGTCCCACACACACACACACACACACACACACACACACACACACACACACAAATGTATAATGAAGCCATAGTTTAGTTCAATTTGGGACTGTGATGTTATAATGAAACTTAAAGTGAACAGCTTGACAAAAGGACATTATTCAAGGACAGCTGCTTTACAGTGGGAACATGCACTAGCAACCTCACTTTTTGGATGAGGAAACTAAGGTTGGGCAAGGTGAAGTCACTTGCCAATAAGTATCATGTGTGTGCAGGTCAGTGCAGACACCTGCATGTGGCCCAGTAGATCTGATTCCAGTGTCTGTGTGTAAAACTCTTCTCTTATCCCTGAACTCTGAGCCCCATGTTGGGAATGAGGTCTGTGATCAGGGGTGACAGTGGGTTCGGTGGGAGGATGCTCTGTGGTCAGTGCCTGGTGCAGAGACACACGTTATCTCATTTACTCCTCACCTGCACCCTGTAAGAAGTGTCACTGTCCCCTGTTTTCAGGGGAGAAAACTCGAGGCCAGCGTGCCTGACCCAGAGCCTCCTCCTCTGGCCTCCAGATCAGTGACCCTTCTGTCCTGGAAAAGGAGGTTCTGATACTGAGGATCTAGTGTGGGACAGCCTTCCAAGATGGTTCCGATGGGTACTCGGGATTGGGAATCGCTCTAACTAAAGTGTTTACTTGAACCTTTTGCAGCTACTACCCGAGTGGAGATGCCTTTGCTTCAGGATCAGATGATGCTACGGTATGTTTCTACGTTCTTGAGAGCTCTTCCTATTTGTAAGAGAGAGATGCTGACTTAATTTTATTTTTCAAAAATAACATTTTTTCTTATTACACAAGTACAGAACTTCCTTTACTTATGATGGGATTCCATCTCGATAAACCAGTCATTAGCTGAAAATAGCCTAAGTTGAAAATGCATTTGATGCACCTGGACTACCAAACATGATAACTTAGCCTAGCCCCTTAAATGTGCTCAGAATACTTATGCTCTCATGCTCTGTGGAGTATTGGATGTTTGCTCTAATGGCCTTATGGCTGACTAGGAGCTGCAGCTTTCTGTCACTGCCCTGCATCATTAGAGAGTGTCCTGCCACAGTTTCTACTGAATGAGCATTGCTTCTACATAATGCTCAAAATCATGAGTCAAAATATGGTAAGTTAGGACCACCTGTAATGTAAATTCAGTGAAGAAAACTTGGAGAGAAAATTATATTACCTTAATCACCCTACCCAAAAAAGTCACATGACGCTTTATAATTTGCTTTCTCTACTTAGCAATATATTATGAACATTTTCTCCATGCCAATACATATTTTTCTGTATTATATTTTCTTAATGGCAGAATAGTGTTCATGTTATAGGTGACACCATCACTTACTTGACCAGTTTTCAATTTTTGGACATTTAGGGTTTTTTCAAGAGTTTTTGGTTTTTGTTACAAACACTTCTATAGGTAGATATTTTGGGCAACTTTCTAATTGTTTCCTTAGAATTAATTCTCAGACATGAACTTACTGAGTCAAAATTAGGTCTAGTTTTAAGGTTTTTGATGCTAATTGCCACATCATGTTGACCTATATTTCAAGAGAAAAAACTACTTTCTTGAAGTCTCATAAGATCAAACATCTTATTAAGTAATAGGTTTCATCCTAATTTGCTGCTATGGGAGAAATAACAAGGGAATAGGTTGAGAGTTTTTTGTAATAAAGAAAATTTAATACTTAGATATCTCAAAAATATCTGTGTGTTTGGTGTATATATGTATATATGGGCATAGATTTTGGAAAATTTCTTGCCATAAAAATGATCAAGTTGAAGTCCTTTAGCTCTGAGTGGAATTGTACCCCAATTAAAAAAAGAAAAGGATAAAACACAGACCCTTTACAAGCAATGAATTAAAAAATGGGAAATAAACCCCCAAAGATGTTTTCAAAGTCACCTGTAATCAAGGAAATGCAGGGTTAAGTAATCAGATGCTCACTGGTATCTTGGATTAGCAAAGAAATGCCAGTGGCCGAGGTGGTGCTATAAAAGAATCCTGGGGTCAGACTGCTGCTGCTGCTGTCTGAGGCAGTTTTGGATTATGTGCTAAGAGTCTTCAAGCCCCTTTAAGCCCAACATACTACTTCTTTGATCCAGTCATGTTGTCCTAAAAACAATTCTAAGGATTCTGTTCCCTAGCTTTTCTAAAGACAATACCAGAGATAGATACATTTTTATATAAATAATGGTCTCCATAATTTTAATTAAAAAAGAAAAAAAACAGACACAGAACACTCAACAGTGTGGCTAAATAGGTCCTGATAAATCCTCAGGAGGAAAACTCAACAGCCATGTTAATTATGGTTCTTTTTTTTAAGGTTATTTAACAATATGAGAAAAGGCTCATAACATATTAATAGAAGTAATAGTGAAATAGTAACCCCATTTAAACACATACATTAAAAAAGAATTAGACTGAAGAAAAATGTCAGTAAGCACCCCTAGGATTTGGGATGACTTATTTTCTTCTTCATTTCTGTGTTTTTCTGAATTTTCAACAAAGAGTGTGTATCCTTTATCAGAAAGAAAAAGAGGGAATTTCAGATTTGAAATCCTGTGTGTTTGCTGTGTCTTTGACCCTCCACTGATCCATGGAGATAAGGGTTCTGGATTAAGGGGTGAATACTAGGAGAGACAACTAAAGAGTTTTCCACTTAGCCCTCTAACTACACAAGCCACCAGCACATCTTGCTGTGCCCATAACTTTGTAGTCTTCACTTCTCCAAACTGGAGCCAGAAGTAAGTGCTTGTTTCTGTGTTTGCACCCCAGTGTCGTCTTTATGACCTCCGGGCAGACAGGGAGGTCGCCATCTATTCCAAAGAGAGTATCATATTTGGAGCATCCAGCGTGGACTTCTCCCTCAGTGGTAAGATTTTCCCTTAGAAACTTTCCCAGGACTGTCAACCAGGACCCAGATGAAAGCAGCTCTCCATCAAGCTCCCCCTCAGCTGAACTTCTGTGGGCCCATGTGCTAAGTCATCATTTTCGGCAGGTTTCCTCACCGAGCTTCTTGATCCTTCCTCTTTGGCCTATCCTCAGTGACTTCCCTCTGTCTCCCGGGCTGCATCTACTTCTGCGGTACCTTTTAGATAGTTCCCTCCCAGTTTCCTTGCTCCCCTTATCCAAAAAACGGACCCTTTTTAGCAGTAGAGGGGGTGAGGAAAGAGACTCTTCATCAATGCCCTGGAGCTCATGGCACCTCTGCCCTCACAGTGGGGAGCTGCTGGTGAAGGTTGAGGTGACATTGACAGGACATGTCACTGGACCATTCACTTTCCCCAGACACACCCCCTGTTCTGCACCTGTGCTTCTGTCTGCAAGCTGCCAAGGCTGCCAGCCCATCTTTTCCCTCCCCTCTCTGCACATCCAACTCCTACTTAGCCCTCAAGGGCCAATTCCAGTGTTGCCTGCTCTGCAGTGTCCTCCTTGACTCCCCCCTCTTGTGTGACAGAACACCTTATACATGTCTAAGCACTTCATTTTTACCATATGGTGCTACAATGATGAATATGTCTGCTTCCCCACCACCACCCTCCCCAGGGATTAGTGACTGTGTTTTCTCTTTTTTGACTCCTCAGGGCTAAGCACATCACCTGGCACTAAATCACTATTTAATGAATGAATGAATGAGTGAATGAATGAATGACAGTCATGAAAAGAAAAATAGGAAGGAACTGGTTTACTAACCATCATATCCTGTTTTAAGGTCGCTTACTGTTTGCTGGATACAATGATTACACCATCAACGTCTGGGATGTTCTTAAGGGGTCTCGAGTCTCCATCCTGTTTGGCCATGAAAACCGAGTTAGTACTCTACGTGTTTCCCCTGATGGGACTGCCTTCTGCTCGGGATCATGGGATCATACCCTCAGAGTAAGAAGTTCTTCTGTTTTACACTGTGCGAGAGGAAGAGTGAATGTCCTTTCAGAGAGCCGAGGGATCAGAGTAAACTGGGATGGGCTGAGTCAGCCAAAGAGAACTCTGATGGCAGCTCTGCCCGGAGCTGCAGAAGGGCTGAGTTACCTGGGGAGGTAGTAAGTCCCCCATCAATGCAAGTGATCAAGCATCAGTTATACAACAATACATCAGCACACAGATGAGACAGTAGTTGGGTTAGGAAAGCCACAAGGTTCTTTTGATCCTAAATGTCTGATACTTCTGCTTCTACTCTCACAAATCAGTATTGCCAGTGTCACCTCTCAGTAGTGCGGGATTCTTATTCTCTGGTCACAGAGTCCCTCAGTACCCAAAAAGGGACTTTGGAGGTCCACAGAGCTTCTGAAATTATATGCCAAATTGTGTGTGTGTGCGCATTCTACCGGGAAAAAAAGTGTCCTTACTAGCTTGGGTCAGATGCTCAAAGAATTCCACAATCTTGTCAAATGTTGGCTCCCCAGAAATGGCAACAAAATAGCCTGTTCATGAAAGAAAACTAAATGAATTGCCTACTGTGGTGTGGAAGATCAGAAACTTGACATAGGTGGCATCTCAGAAGGGGAGTGCAAAGGCTGATATTCATGAGGTTGGGAGGGGCAGGTTTATGGGAGGTCTTTTGATGGAGGGAATTAAGTTTTGACATATTTGTGGCATCATAGTTTAAGGATGGAAGGAGAGAGAGGATTTCAAAGACAGTCTTGAAAAGTAACTGGTCATTTGATGCTCTAGATTGTCCTGAGAAATGAGTGCTTTTCAAAAGGGCAGTTGAATAGTCTAGTCTTAGGATAAATAGAACTTTTGCGATGTTTTTGAAAGAAACCAAAGTTAATTGTGACTTCCTTTCCCCAGACATGAGTTTCCTAAATCAGTAAAGTCGTGTGAATGTGCCCCAGGAGCTGTGTGAGTACAGCTGGTCTCAGCACTTGGTCTAAACGTGACTAGTTCCTGGTAGAGGGGCCGCTGACACCCTGCAGACCACTGAGTGAGGAAGAGGAGGATCTGGTACGAAGAAGGACCTTTGAGTTGCTAGGAGTAAAGTGTTACCCTTCCCAGACATGTCAGTGCTGTGTTTTGGGTGGAGACGTGTATGTGTGTGGGGTGGACTGATTTTACCTTTTCAAATTCAAGTCTTATAAGCTGCTAACCATGAAGGCACTAAAAATTTTCTGCTTGCCTTTGCAGGTCTGGGCTTAATCATCTTCTCACAATGCACACATAGATACCTAGGCATAGAATTTGAAATCATCACATTAATCATCTTATTTCTAGAGTATCTGAGGGCTTTGTTGCAACTCTAAGGGAGCAACTCCAAGACTGAGAGTTGACAGTGTCTCCAGTATTACCATTAAGGATTCCTGTGTGAGCACCAGCACCCGAAGAACACCTGCAAGTGAAGTGTTTTTTCATTTTGAGCACTTTTTAAAATGTATTTATGTTTAAGGTTATTGTAATAATACTCTGTTCCCAACAGAATTTAGCATTTTATAGATTGCATATTATTTCCTTGAGTCAAATTTGGTTTTGGAGCACTTTAAAATCTGATTTTTCTTAACGTGCGTGTGACTTTTGGAGCCTTCCTTTAGACGTGCTAATGTTAATGGACGATATGAGAAGGACTGTGTTAAGCAGTCTGTTAAGATTCCAAATCCAAATGTAATTAGACCAAATCACTTTATAAAAAAAGTTTTTATTGTAAAAGAATCTTTTTCAGTCTCAGATCCTATCATCTTTTTTGAGATCAAACATTTTCATCTATGTGGCCTGTTACGGACAGAGAGGTGCATAAAATGGACAGGATGCCTGATGTATGATTTGTTATCTATCACTGTGTCACTTGGGCAGAAAATTTTCTTTCCTTTGAAGGAAAAGCTGAATGTTGTTTGTGTGCCATTGCTTCTCAGAGCGACCAGAATCTTTCTGTGTAAGAACACGAGACAGTAAACTTACTGGAAAACCTGACTATAGTATTAGCTGTATTAGGATTAGTCGTATCCACTCAGGCTAAAGTGGATCTTGCCCATGTAAACCACACTCATATTTATTGCACTGCAAGTGTAATTACATATATAAATTGACAGGTCTGAGATGATAATGCCTTTGCTTCTCTTATGTTGAGAAAAATATAACAAAAATATATTGTCTTTATTTGAGATTCAACGATTCCTTTTGGAAAATACAAGTGTGTTTGCTTCAGGGTCCCTTCCCCGCCCCCTTTTTTTTTTAAGGTGTAAGGGCTTATTCTTTATGTTAGAAAACTCATTCAGAAAGATGGTATGCATTGCTTGGGGAAATAAAAGATCACCTCAGACCAAAAATCACTCCTGGGTGAAGCTTGCCCTCTGGTGGCCTGGGGTTCGGGTGGCCAGGCTTGTGGCCCAGGGGCTGTGTGTGCCGAGGCCCCTGGATCCTCCCTTCTCCGCTCTAGTTCCTGCTCCAACCCAGCCCATTTTCTGGTGGTAATTATGTCTTTGCAGGCCCAGCCCCAGGCTGCTCCTCAGAAAGGCCCTTCCAGAGTTAGAGCCACACACACAGCCCTCAGACTTGCCTGGGCCTGGGGGTTAGTTCCAGCTCAACCCCCACAATTACTTGTTCGGGCATTGTAATGAGCCAATCAGTCAAAAATCAGCCAGGCCAACTCTTCCATCAACTCTTTCAAATATTCAGTCATTTGCCAAGGAAACATTTACTGAGGTCCTTACACAGCAGGCGTTGGACTAGAGAAAGAAATATAAGAGCCCCTGCTTTCCCCTAAAGATCCCAGACTGAGGGAGGGAGCATGGTGCAGAGGGACCATTTTTCCCACACGGCCCCCACTCTCCCAATGTGTTACAGTCTGGGCAGGGTATCCAAGAAGTAGGCGGAGCCTACCAGCTACCGAAGAGATCAGGCCCCAGAGTGTATCCCATGGAATTCCTGACCTCCCAGAATGTTCCAGAGGTTGTTCCTGGTCTCCTAGTTATGGCTGTCCCGTTCTCCCACGGGACCTTTTCGTGTCTCTACACTCTGACCTGGGCTTCCCAGAAGTAAAGGAAGACAGGGTAGGGGAATGTTACGTAGATTCAGAGAAAGCACAAAGTTCTGTGCTTGCCAAGAAGAGCATCTTCAGTTTACACGCAAAATAGCCCATAACTTTCCAATCATAAAAGTGACTTTCAGTGTCCTCAGAAAATATTCCATACAACACTCACTCCCACAGGCTGTAAATCATCTCTCCTGTAAGTATTTAATTTCACAGCACGTGTTGTTCAGTAGTCATTGATGAAATATTTGATTGGGAAACTCAGGGGTGTAAACTCCAGGTAATAAATTATATTTTGCATATTGAACAAAATGCTGAGTTTTTAAATCAGTTTTTTCTTTCTTTTTTTTTTAAGAGGACCAAACCAATTATGAAGGGGAAAAAATAGATATACCCCCAGGTGTACAGCTCCCTTCCCAGCCCAAGAAGAGGAGGATTATGCAGGAAGGGGGCCAGATAAGGAGGCATGCAGCAGCAGGTGTTTGTGAGAAATGTTTGTGAACCTCTTGGCCAGCCTCTAAAAATGGGTTTCTGCTCCCTTAGAACGTGCAGAAGCAGAGACCCCATGTCCACTTCTCTCTCCCCACTCCTTGACTTCCTCCACATTCTTCCCTAGGCTGTAAGTGGCTTAAAAGCAGCACAAGGTTGTAACGGCCTTTGCATCCTGGGCTCTCATTGCTTGGCCAGCTGGGTAGAAGGTGTCCCTGCTGACATGCGGACTCATCTGTATGTCAGAGGGGACAATGGTGCAAAGGATGCACACCTAAGTTCAGACCCAGCTCTTTTGCATGATGGGATAGAGTATAATGTCTAAATTTCTCCCAGCCTCAATTTCCTCATCTATGATATGGTACAGCACTAGAGTATGTAAGGACTGGAGCCTGGCTAGAGCTAGGCTGGCCTTTAGAGCTGGGAAGTTTCCACTCTGGGCTGATGATGGCCAGTTCTGACATAATGTTTATGTCATTGTAAAAAGTTTATAGACCCTCTAGTGAGGAGATAGAATCAGAACAATGCTCTGGCTTATTTAGCTCTAAGCAAATAGGAACTACTCAATGTAAGTATAGTGTGAACATTTATGTGAAGACTGTGATGAAGGACATGACCATATTTAAACCCAAGGTTATCTAAAGGTAAGCTGGATGCTTACCTTTGTCATAAGACAGGAATCATGAAGCAGGTCCTTGTTTCCAACCTATCTGTGCTCTACAATAACTGGCAGCCTCCCATTTCTAGGTAGACCCAAGGGAAATGGAAAAAAGCCACCAAAGTGCCCACCAATAGAAGGCTGGATCAAGAAGATGTGGCATAGCCACACACTGGAATACCATTCAGCCATAAAGACAGGTGAAATGTCACCATTTACAGCAACATGGAAGTAGCTCAAAGGAATTATATGTAGCAGAGCAAGTCAGATAAAAATATATACTGGAAAACTTCACATACATGAGCAAAATAAGGAATCAAAGTTGGGTGAGCTGACAAAGAAAAATAATTATAAATTATTTTCATACACTAGGACTTTGGTACCAAAAAGAAGGTTCTGCCCTTTAGTGGGAGGGCAGGGGAGAAAGGACCAACGGGGAAGGTGATGGAGGGAATGGCTTTGCTGAGTGTGCATGAGGGGCATTTGGGGATAGAAGTGGGCATATAATTATAATACATGCTAACATTTTTACCACTATGATAATCCAGTTATTCTTCAGAGAATTTTGTATAAATTTGCTCATTAAGTTCTTACAACATACCGGAGAGATATATTTAATTGTAATGATCTTTTTATAGATTTGGAAACAAGGAAAAAGTTTCATAATGTGAAAGGAAAGCAAATATGTTTACACAGAAATTTGCACATTAACATTCACAGCAGTCCAAAGTGGAACAACTCAAATGATGATGCATAAGCAAATGTGGTCTGTCCATACAATGGAATATTACATGGCCCTAAAAAGTAATGAAATACTGATTCATGCTGCAACACAAATGAATGTTGGGAATGTTATGTTCAGTGAAAGAAAGCAGATACAAAGGACCACATAGTGTATGATTCCGTGATATGAATATTCTAGAATAGGTAAGTCCATTGATACAGAAAGAAAATTATGGTTACTTAGTGCTAGGGAGGGGCTGAGTGGGGTATGACTAGTGGATATGGGTTTCCTTTGAGGTAGTGGAATTTAATTTGTTGTAGTGGGCAAACAACTCTGAATATACTATAAACCACTGAAGTATGTATTTTAAAAGGGTGCATTTTATGGCCTGTTAATTATGTCATAATAAAGCTGATAAAAATATATATGGAAAAAGTAGTGGCAATAAGTCTCTAACTATGTTGAGTATTTAAAAAGAATAAACTCTGGAAGGGATTCTCCTGAGTGAAGTGAGCCAAAGGATGGTGAAGTGAAACTGGGTGGTTTACTTACATGTGGACTATAGAGAAACCAAACAAAGGAACAGACAAAGACAAACTTAAAATTCATCCTTGAAAGCAGAAAGCAGCCCAGAGATCTGAGGCATGGCGCGGGGGGACAGTGGACTATGGTGGAGGACTACAGGGACTTTGGCGGTAGAAAAACTATAGTCACCACATCTGAGGGGAGAAATGCTATATTGTAAAAAAAAAAAAAAAACAAGGATGGATAGCAATGATGTCATCAGTAAAAAAATCATTGAAACATAAAGGTAAGGCTTACTGGAGTGGCAGGAACGGGCCACAGTGCAGGTTTTCTGATCCAGCAGACCGGGTGAAGGAGGAGTCAGAGCCCTCAGTGGCTTTTGCAGGTCTTTTATTTAGATTTACCAGGTACACAGCAGGCAGGGATGCTGGGGGGCCGGGAGGCTGGCAGGCCTCCCAGTCCCCAGCAAGTCTTCACTCTGTCTGGGTTCTCCGGCCTTCTCTCGTGTTCTCTCTGCTCTCCTGCTTCCATTCATTCTTAGTTTCTGCTGGCGTCCCCGTGACGCCACCCTTATAAACTCAGTCTCTCAGCCCAGGTGTACCCACTTCAGGTGCCCACCATCAGGCATGCATTCAGGACCGCAGGGATTCATCATCAATCCTGATGGCGGGAGGGCAGAAAAGCCTGATACTTTACTTACCCTACAGTCAGGCACTGTGCTAAGCACTTTTCATACCCCAACGTATAATCGTCGTAACAGTCCTTTGAGGCAGTTTATATAGCCAGACTTTAGTGGTGCAGGGGTGGGAGGGTAGGTCAAGGCTAGGGGAGTTGAATAACTTCCTCATGGCTGCACAGCTTCTAAGTGGCCTTGCCAGGATTTTAACCAAGTCTGACTGCAAAATCTGTCCTTGCACCATGTAGGCTAGAAAGTGTGTGTGGAGGTTGATACTCACATGTGTTTTCGTTCAGCTGATAATTATTAACAGTTAACCATTGACTGAGCCAAAGGCTTTACCACTCTGCTCCTAAACTACTCCAAATCTAAGAAAAAATTGTGTGCTCGCTGCTAACATGCAACTTTCAAAAAAAAAAAAAACTCACTTGTAAATAAAACACGAACATATACCAAAGCACTTATTGACTCATTCATTAATGAGGCAACCATAAGATATCAAAACTGATTCAAATGTAAACTTGATGTAAGAAATTGATAGTCTTTTAACACAATTCATTTGGCTCACTATAAAGCAGTCATCTGTGTGGGAAGGTCAGGCGGTTGGCAGCAGTGCCAGCCTTTGTAGGGAAAAATCTCTTGCTGCTCCTTTCTCTCGCCCTGCTGCCACAGCCTCTTTGCTCAGTGGCCCATAGAGCAAACTCTACAGCAACTGGGTGAAAAAAACGGACACCCACTGGGCACAGAATGTTGTCAAGCTGATTTATGAAGAGCCTCCACTACAGTAACTGCCCTTCGGGACAAGGTTACCTTCGCCGTCTGTGCTCACGCAGAGGGCTCCAGCCAGGGTTTCCTCCTCACCAACATTGTAGTCCTGGTTCTTTCAAGGCCCTGAATGTTTCCAGCCAAATCGTCCACAGCTGTGGTGCATCCCTGTAAATATTCGCTGCAGTCCGGTCTTGTCCCGTCTCACTCCAGACATAGTAGATGATCAAATAGTCTGCTATGCTTGGTGTTCTGCTCTTTGGGAGGATTTTCCTTCACCTTCTTCCCAATCATCCCTGAGTGTGGCTGTATTACCGTTTACCTGTGATACCAGAATGCAACACAGAGCCATCAGAGTCCAGGCTTGAGTTTCCTCCATCAGTCAATTGTCATACATAACCCCCTGGAGGCCTGACACACAAGGAGGGAAGAGACAAAGCAACAGTGTTCCTGGAGCCTGGACTACCTGTTCATGCAATTTGTGCCAGGTAGACCTGCCGAGCTGAGTCTCCTTTAGCACTTCCATGTGATGACAGATTGCTACGGTGCATGCTGCCTTACAACTAGGCAGATCAGATACCACCCATATCCTGGTGAGAGTGCAAGCTGCCTGCTCAAAGGGACTATGGTGAAGGTTCACCCGTGATTTATGGGAGCTACACCTGAGGGGAGAAATCAACTAGTGTACCATAATGAACAATGTAAGAAAGTTTAATCAATAAAAAAATAGTTTGTTACCCTAAGCGGGGAAAGGAGCACTAATTATAAGTAGGACTGCAGTGGTGAGGACCTGGCCAGTTAAAAGGTAAAGAGAAGGCTAAACAAATACAGGAGTGGAAGCTGTAAGAGACAGCCACCACCCTAGAGCTGAACAGCCCCTCAACCTCTACCTCAGTGACAAACCCCCGTGATGGCCCTTTCTCTGTCCCTCCGGGAATCTGGAGGATCCTCGAGAGCAGGGTCCATGTGTCCATGGTATTGCCAGTGCTGGAACAGGGAGGCCTCGCATGGCCAAGGCTCTGAGTAAGCCTTGGGTGAAAGAATGCCGCCAGCACTGAAGCTCTGACAGCCGCAGGAGAATGAGCCTGCTTCCTGGCACAGGTGCCAGACCGAAGCCAGGGGTGTCCAGACCAAAGACAGGGGTGTCCAGCACACACCCGGATGCTCCTTTCAGTGCAGAGACCCCGGCGATCCTCAAGGAACCGCCCGCGGAGGGCTGTGTGCAGCCTTTGCCAGCCTCTCCTTCCGAGGAGACAGAAGTTTAACCCAGCCTCCGGAGCAGCCCCCTCCGTTAGTGCCCAGACCGAGAGCCACACAACCTGGATCCCGCTCCGCGCCCACGGCCAAGCGAGCGCGCGCCCCCAGCCTCGCCGGCCCAGCGGCCGCAGCAGGTGCGCGCGGGACGCGCATCAGGGCCCCCTCTCGCGTGGGCCGCATCCCGGGGCGGGGCGGGGCTTCGCGGCCCCTCCCAGGACCGAGGGGCGACCCGGCTTATAAATGAGGGTCGGGTGGGCGAGCCGAGGCGGGCGAGCGCCTAGAGCGGCTGCAGACCCACTGCCCGGAGTGTTGCGCCGCGAGCCCGCCTGGCGCCCCGCGCGCCCCGACACCGCAGCACGCGCTGCGCTACTTAGGGGCCCCCCAGGCTGCTCCGGAGACCGCGTGGAGCTGGCGGAGCGTGGCTAGGACCCGACTCTCCGAACGCCGCGGCCCCGGCTGGCACCGCGTGGCGAGGGTCGTGACTTTGGCAGGGCCGCCGCCGGCTGGAGGCGCCCAGGGTGGGGTGAGCTCGGCGGGGCTGGGGCGCGAGGGGGTGGAGGTCCCCGGGGACCCCGGGCGGGACGGGACGCGCAGCCCCAGGGGCGCTCGCGCGGCCAGCACGGGGAGGGACCCGCGGCGCCAAGCCCTCGAGGGCTTTTCGGCCGGATGGCAAGGTTGGTGTGGCGCGCGAGCTCTCTCCTCTCTCGGGGGAGCCAGACCGACAGGGCGCGGCCTTGCGGGGTGCGCGCGTGAACCGGGTTTGCAGCAGCAGCACGTGGCGTTCGCGTGGGTTTGCACGCTTTTCACTTGCTGTTGGCATTTTAGGATGCGCCCATTTCAGGTCATGGCAGCGCGCGCTTGTGGAACCCCCCACGCTGATGAAGTCCGCAGTGGTTGGTCACTCTGGCCAGGTGGGTTCGCGCGCCTCTTCCTCTTAAACGCACCGCTGGAGAAATTTAAGATTCCTTGAGCCCACAGCTGTGCAGGGCGGAGAATGACAGCCTAAAACGTGCAAAGGGAAAAGCCTCCTCTTGTCCAGTCCACACACCTCTCAGGAAAAGCCCGGGCGGGAGGTGTTGGGTGTGTGCCTGCTGAGGTGCCTTAATGTCGAATCCCTGCACCTAGCCCTGGAGCGGGAGGTGCAGGCGCCCTGGCTTGCAGCTGCAGGTTGTTGATTTGTGTTTTAGGGTAAAGGGTCGGCGCTTGGCCTGCAGCTACTAAATGCAATTAAAAGGCTCCCCATCCTTCAGGAAGCCGGTAGCAAGCCTCTTGGATTCTGAGCTAGACCCATTTCTTTATTCTCTTCCTCACTTGAGCTGAATCCATGACTTCGGTGACCCAGGTTACAGAATAAATGAAGCCAAATGACTTAAACCAGCGATTCAAAAAATATGAGGAACTGGGGAAGATGCAGGAAATGTATTTTTTTTTAAGATTGATTTATTTTTATACAAGGGCTGGGGTACAGGCAGGAGGCAAGGGAGGGTGAGAGGATTCACCAGAGACAGAGCAGGGAACAGAACAGGCAGATCTGACTGAAATACACTGCTGAGGGGAGCAGGGGGCGAGAGAGGAGAGGTCTGCTGTGCCATGTGGGATTCTCACTTGCTGGCCAGGATGGAACCTGCAGTGCAGAGGCTGCGGACAGCTTCAGAGTGTGGCACTCAACTGCCTGTGCCACCAGGGAGGCCCAGTTTTTGAGATTTTTCAAATAACGTAATGCCTGTTTGTTGCTATAAACTTTCCTCTTGAAATTCTGCATCCCACAAATTTTGATGCATTCTATTTTCACTTTAATTTTGAGAATTTATTTCCCTTTTGATTTCTACATTTATCAGGGATATTGGTCTGTAGAGTGTGTGTGTATGTGTGTGTGATGTCTTTGCTTTTGTTATAAGAGGAATGTTGACCTCATAGAATGTGTTTGGGGAACTTGAGAATAGATATTAGTTTGAAGACTGGCTAGAACTCACTTGTGAAATCATCTGGTCCTAAGCTTCTGTTTTGGGAGGAGACTTCTGATTACTGTTTCAGTTTCCTTGCTTGTAGTTGGTTTGTTTGTTTCCTACTCCTGACCTGGTGTTCAAAAGTTGATTGCTTGTAATAATTTGTAAAAATAAGCTTCAATGTTTATTATCTGTTCATTAATTTTATTTCTCAGATAATTCCTTTGTTCTTTTGCATTCTCTTGTATTCCTTTGATCAGCATTTTATTTTCTTCAATTTCTTTAAATTTCTTTAATAA